ACTCAATAAACAAATTTTCTAATACTACTTAACTATCAAAATTTCAAAAATTAACAACTCTTTTCTTTAAATTGTCCATATATTTTCTTGTATTCTTCATTCTTCCTTGCATTTCTTTTTCTCTCTTCTTTCTTGTCCTACTAATCCTTCTTCTCTCTTTACTACCTTAACTTTCTGCATACTTTCTTTTATCTTTTAGATCTTTTCTGACTCCTTCCTTTTTCTGATTACTTTTCTTTGTACTTCTATCTCTTTTGCATCATGGCTTAGTATTTTTTCCATTTCTTCTTCATTTCTCGTATCTCCACAAATTTTTAGTATGTGTCTATGATCTTCTTCTTCCTACTTGCATAATCTACACTTCTCATCCTCCTCTCCTTTCCAGTATTCTCTACTTCTACATTCATTTCCGCATCTAAACCTTGCTACTAACTTTCTATCCTTTGAAGGCATATCCTTTTTCAAGTATTCTGGTTCAGCTTCTGTTCTTATACCTCTATATATTCTGTTGCACCGTGAATTCTCTATCTTTTCCATTCTTCTCTCTTTTTTTTTTTCTTTCCTTGTTAATTAATATTTTTTCTCTTACTTTCTCCCTAAATTTTACTCCTTTCATAAATCTTGTTTCTTTTACTTTCTCTTCCCGTAGTAATTCAGCTCTCTTTTTTGATTCCTTTCCTATTCTCTCTCTTTCCTTGTCCTTGTCCTTTTCTCTTATGCATTCTTTTACTAATTTTATGTCTGACTCCCTAATTTTCCCTTCAAACTTTAACGCTCTCCTTAACTCTTTTATACTCATCCTTTCTAATCTACACTCCTCCTCCACTATATAATTTGGTGTATTGCTGTCTAATCCTAATATCCATTTCATATATCTTCTCTGTACACTTTCTAGTCTTTCTTCTTCTTCCCAGCCCCACACTTCCGCACCTAATAGCGCTATACTTTCTACTAGGGCTGTAAATAATTTTCTTCTTCTTTTGTAGCTATTCTTAAATATTCTTTCTCCTATGCTCCATGCATTTTTCATAGCTATCACTGCTTTCCTTTTCCTTTCTTCTATATGCCTATCGTTTCTCCCACTTTTCTGTAGTATATATCCTAAATATCTTATTTCTTTTACTTCTTCTAATTCCTTACTCCCCCACTTCTACCTTCTATCATTCCTCTTTCTTTTTTCGAACACTAAAATTTTCGTTTTTTTCTCACTTAAAATCATCTTCTTTTTATTTATGTACTTTTTGAATCTTTTTAACATCTCTTTCAATTCTTCTTCTCTATCAGCTATTAATACTATATCATCCGCGTAAGATAGACTCCATACTTTTTCATTACCAACTCTGCATCCTCCCACCTGCCATTTCATTAATTCCTGCTCCAGATCCGCTAAGTACACATTAAACAGCGTCAGGCTCAGTGGGCAGCCTTGCCTCGCACCTTTCTCTGTCCATAATTCCTTGGATTCCTCTTCTCCAACTTGAACTACATTTCTCGTTTCTTTATAAATATCCATAATCCTATTTCGTAGCTTTTCACTCACTTCCATTTCTATTAATCTTTCTTTTAAAACTTTCCTATCCACTCAATCAAATGCTTTCTTAAAATCAATAAAACATGTAAATAATTTTCCTCTTTCTTTGCTTAATTTTTCATCAACAATGTGTTTCAATGTGTACATAGCTTCTATTACTCCTCTCTTTTCTCTAAAACCAAACTGGCTTTCTGATAATTTACCTTCAATTTCCTTTTTTAACATCTCATTAAACATACTCGCATAAATCTTATATGCTGTACATGTCAATTTAACTCCTCTATAATTTTCTAACATATCTTTATCACCTTTTTTGTGAATCAAACAAATCGTACCTTGCCTCCACTGATCCGGTAATTCTCCTTTTTCCCATACTTTTTTCAGCAATTCCCAAAGGGCTGCATCCACTTCTCCCGGCATGTACTTCCATACTTTATTTTCCAGCTTGTCTTCTCCTGGTGCTTTTCCTACTTTTAATCTGGCTATCTGCCTCTCGAACTCATCCTTGCTCATTTCTTCCTGATCCTCTGCATTTGTTCTTGCCTCTTCCTTTCTTGTCTCTTCTCTCACAATTCCTTCTTCATTCTTCCCATCCAACGTTTCCATAAAATACCTTCTTCACTCTTCTACTTTGAACTTTTTAGATATTTCTCTCCTTCGTTTTTTCCTGTACTTGTTTATATATTTTCACACTTCGCCTTCCGATGTTGCATTTTTTATCTCTTCTTCTTCTAATCTTTCAAACCTTTTTCTTTTTGCCTCACACCAGTTCCTATACTCTCTTTTTTTATCTGTGTAATAACTTATTTCTATTTTCTTTTTTCTCCACCTTTTCATTATTCTTCTTAAATCCTTCTTCTTCTCCTTCCATTCTTTATCGTGCCATTTTGTATCCCCCATCTTCAACACTTTACACTCTTTTTCCACCTTAGGTACTGCACTTTCTATTTTTTCTTTCAATTCACTCCATCTTTCTTCAACCTCTTTTCCCTTTCGCTCCCAGTCTTTACACCTTTCTCCATACTGATCAATCAATTCTTGAGTCCAATCTCTCCTTGCCTTTGTTCTCCCTTCTTTCTCTACAATTCCTACCTCTTCTTCCTTTTCTAGGTATACTTCTAACGGCATATGATCTGATTCCGTTCTTTGTCCTATCTTCACTTCCTTAATCTGATCTAACGCTTCTTGACATCCTATTGCGTAATCTATTACCGGCTCTCCTCCGCTACCAACGTATGTGAATTCTCCTTCTTCTCCTTTTTGCCCATTTACTATACACCATCCTTCTTCTGTTATTTCTTTTATTAGTCTTCTACCTTCCTCATTGATCTTTTCGTCGTTCGACTTTCTTAACCTTACATCCTTGTCATCACTATCACTCTCACTATCACTTTCATTAATCCAACCTCCTTCTCTTCCAGTTCTTGCATTCCAATCTCCTAGTATAAGTACACATCCACTTTTCTTCGTTTTTACTTTTTCCTTTATAATTTCCATCGTCTCTGCTACATTTTGACTATATACTCCTATGATCTTCCACTTCTGATTTCCGTGTTTAATCTTCTGCATTACTATGTTATCGCTCCATACTTCATGATTTCTACTCTCCAATTTTTTGCTTATTCCTAATATTACTCCTCCTTTCGCTCTACCTTTTTTATGCTCTCTAGTCGCTGGTATACACTTCCACTCATAACTTTTTGACAACTCACTTTCTACATTAGCCCACTTGTCCTGTTCCAACCATGTCTCTACCAACATTATCACATCAAATTTACTTAAATACTTCCACACTTCACTGTCCTTATTTAGCACTCCTGCAATGTTCCACGCACAAACACTAACATTTCTTCTTCTCACTCCCTCCTTCTCTACATCTTCTTGTTCTCCTCATTCTTGGCTCCTTCTTCTTTCCTCTGTAAAATCTCCTTTCCTTTAATTAAATCTAAGCCATTTACCATCGATCAAAATCTTTATATCTCCAACTTTTGTATTTTTTCGTTTGTTCCTCTGCTCTTTTGACTTGTTTAAAATAATTCTTTGGATCTCTCTTTCTCTCTTTGTTATATCGCTTTCTATGTAAACTCCTCTCTCCAGATGTTTTTTATTTCTTATTACTTCTTTTTTCATTTTTTTACTTGCCAGCCTTACTACCACTAACTTTTTCACATTTTGCCCAGCGTTTACACTTATCTCTTTAGCCTTCTCTATCTTGACTTTTACTTTTATCTTTTGTTTAATATATTCTTTGACCTTCTTCTCCAGATTCTCTCCTTCAATATTTTCTCCTTTTATAACAATGTTCGGTCTCCTTTTCTCTCTCTCAGCTTTTTCTGTTTCCCGTTCCAACTTGCTTATTCTTTCTTCTAACGCCTTCTTTTTTTCTATCCACTGTTGCCTTTCTTTTATCCACATCTGTTTTCCCTCTTTTCAATCTTCTTCTCTTCTTTCTAGACTACTAATCATGCTGTCCAACTTCCTTTCCAACCTGCTCATCTTATCGTTTAATTCTTTATTCTCCTGATTTTCTTTTGTAAAATTCAATAGAGTCTGTTCCTTTAATTTTGCATTTGTATTATTTTTTGTACTCATACTTGCTGCAGGCGGCTTTCCGGCCATTTTTAAATTTTGCCGATAATGCAGTTTTCTACTTTAGCGGCTTCTCCCCTTCTTTTGAACAGAAATTCTAATTACCAGCCTTACTTGACTAAGTAGTGCTCTTCCTTACTGACCTCAATATGGCTTTTTACAGGGTCCTTCCTTATCTGCCTTTAAAATTACCTCTTTTTCCAATTGCCGCTTCTTTCTTTCTATAATAACGTTTCTAACCTCACTTTCTTTCGAACTTTATTGCACTTTTTCTTTTACTATCACCACTTTAACACTGTTTTCCTGTCCTCTTGTCTCTCGTTTTTCCGCTCACTAATACCTTTCTTTATCATCCCTTATTCTAACTACTCACACCTTACTTTCATTACACGTGTTCCGTTCTCTTTACCCTGATACCACCGCACTAATCTCACTTCATCCTTCCAAACTTTTATAATTATTCACTTTACACTTTTTTTTCTGCTGCTTCTTAACTTTTAACACTTTTTCGTACTTTTTATTTCTTTTATTTGTACTTTAATTACTTTTTATTACTCTTTTCTACGGAGCGTTCTCTCGACACGTCCGCACTCTCTCGCATGCACAACGGAACTCTATAGATTTATAATTACCTTATTTGTTGAACTTCAAAATGTGAAGATTGTAAGTCATTTTTTTAAAAGGTGGAGAGCCTCCTTAAACTCTAGTTCATATTAAAGTTTGTGCTATTCGAGGTTTTAGACTTTCGATTGCTCATATATTAGAAAATGTTAAACTGAATTGTTAAGTCAGTAATATGCTTGTATAAAAATAAATAGAAAAATATAATATTACGTCGGGATGAGTAATTTTGAGACTAACTTAACTGCTGTAAAAACAGGAATTGGTATTGTCGTTCCATTTGAGGATGCACTCGAAGCTCGGAAGTCTATTACTGTTCAAGGTGTCTGGAAACAGGGAATTCTCTGGGGAGTTCCAAAACACAGGAGAAACATCACGACTCGCCATAACCGAAAATTTGGCTGGCCTGACTACATTTGGAAGCCAATGGTACCTAAGAATAATTTAATTATGTGCCGAGTGTGTGGGCACTTTCATGAATCCCAAATTATTTGCAGTAAGCATAAGTCTTTAAGTATTTAACGTATTTTATAATTTAAGTAGTCCTTTTACTCATTTAATATTTTTAGGACACTGTTATGAAAAAGTTAGAAACGAAACAACTGAGATTCAAAAAGTCATGGAAAAAGAATTAAAACTTGACTCCATGGAAAATGAGATCATTGTCTCATATGAAGGAGAGGACTACTCTAAATCTGAAAAATTTTGGAAGGTTAGCTCAGGTGTCAGTTTATTACACATACATAAAAATAATAGACCACGTGTAATACTGCACAGTCGTCAGCTCATTGCGAGGAGTAACGTCAGTGCTATTTCTCTTTAACAACTAACGCGATTGGCTGTTGCAGACGTCACGCGTTTAGTTCGGATTACGGTTTAAAGCACATTAATTATTATATTATGATTGAAACTGAGCTTCTGATGACACATGAACTCTCAATGAACAATAGTAAACAAAAAACACTATAAAACAAGCTCCCAATTTAAGCCTTTACACAAACCTTGCCTGAGGGCAACACCTTAAATATTACTTGCATACATATACTGGTAATATGCATCGATAGCCGAGTGGGCTAAGGCAATGCATGCTCAGAAACGTGCATCGGAGGATCAATGATCGATTCCTGTGACAATCTATTTTTTTTTTTTTTTTTTTTTTTACATTTTGTTCGTAAGAAATTTTTTGAAACTGTAGCTGTAGAAATAACTTTCAAGAACTCAAAAATACTTTCATTATTTAAAAATTTATCTAATGGGTTATTATTTTCAGAGGCTGCGGAAATGTTTTTTGTTTGGAGAGCTCATAGGCTGACAAATCGTGAATGACCAAAAAAAAAGGTCGCAAGAAATAAAAAGTGTTATAATTTAAAACATTTATTCAAACTGTACGTATTGGCAACAATATTAAATATAAAAAAAAAATTAAATTTAATAAAAAATAATAATAATATGTATTTAATCAGGTAACAAAAATACTTTGGCTCTTTCGTTATTTCCGCCAATGAATTTTTTAATTAATTTATTCATTGATAAATTTTAAGTTTGTGTTTTATACGCATTTAAAAGAAGTAAATTTATTATTCTGCTCTGTGTCATGGTATTCCATAAATCTGTTAGTAATCGCTGGAGAGCACTAAATGACCGTTCAGCGCAAACTGATGTTTCAGGTGCAGTTAAAATTAATTCTATCAAATTAATAATTTCACTAATCATATCACGCACGGTTTTAGACTCTTGTTTCAAGATATTCACAATTTGTTGTACAGTAATCTCAATTTTGTCAAACTTAAATACTGATTTTGCAGTACTTTTTTTTTAGTAACACTTTGAGTTGGTAAATGTTTTTGTATGATTTCCGGTAAAAACTGAAGATAAGTTAATAAGCTAGATACACTAAAATCAGTTGCATAAATGCCTGAAGATGTTTGTAGATCATTCATATCGAATATTTTTCCCTTGGCAGATTCAAGTAGTATGTTTTTCAATGTTATTAGGCGATCAATTTTATCTTGACCAAAGCGACGCTTTATTTCAGCAACAAGACAATCAATAATTTCGTTAAAATTTTTGCGCATGGTTGTTTTTGCATCTAATTCCACAGGCTCTGAGCTCGCCACATCTGAATATTCGTATTTACGAGGAATTTTTCTTTTTCTCTTCATCTCGGGGCTGCGTTACTCTATTTAAATTAAATTTACAGACAGTGAAATGATAGAATAAATTGTATTACCATTCCTCAAATACAAAACTAAACGGAATTCTTACGTAGTTCCTCCGATGCTTTTTCGACAGCATTCATTATCAAAATATTTTTCTGTTCTGTATCCATTTAACGTTTCCAACAAATACTCTGCAACTTTTTTGCACCGTAAACCGTAAAATCAGAGCTCTGTAGAGCAACTGCAAGCTCTTCACACTGTGCAAAAATTAATTTTGGTATATATAGTGCATAGACAGTTTCGAATCGATGTAAGTGTTTTAAGTAGCCTTTAAGACTGGTTCTTAGATCATCACGAATATATCTTTGTAAATCCAATAACTCATCAACAATCTGTTGAACTTGTTTTAAATTTGTAAAAAATCTGTCGATCGACTTGACTCGGACAACCCAGCGAGTTGGGCATAATGCTTTTAAATCAAGAGTTTCGCTGTTGTACCTTTGATCATCTGTAGAGATTAGTATAATAATATCACGATATATATTTTTTCTCTTAGATGATTCAAAAATAACATTTGATACATATTTAACGGTTGTGAGAGAGTCATTGAAATCGGATTTTCGTGCTTTTTCTTGCAGAGTCAAATCTAGTGAATGGTTAGAGCAATGGATAAAAATTGATTTCGGATATTTGTCACAAATTTTCTGTTTCACACCACTGATTTTTCCTGCCATATTTGCCGCTCCGTCAAAACAATGACGTCTTAATTTGCTCAAATCTAAGTTTAATCTTAAGCAAACGTCCAGTATAATTTTATACAGCGTTTCTGCTTTATAATCGGGCGCTTTATACAAACCGATAAACTTTTCATGAATTTCGAATTTTTCATCGACGAAGTGGAGGCAAATAGAAAATTGCTTATTACCAGCTGAGTCCGTAGTACCGTCAGCCATTAACGAAAATAAATTTTTCGCACTTCATCAGCAATATTTCTTAATAGTTCATTCGACATGAAGGATATTACTTCATTTTGAACGTTATGGCTTAGCCAATTGTTTTTTTTTAGTCAACCAATTTTGCAATACCGGTGAAAATTTAGATCTTTCTTTTAACAAGTTCATAAAATTTCCAGAATCAGACTCATGATCTTGCAGAGCAAGCCCGCATCTACATAAGAAATTTGTGCTAGAAACAATTATTTTTAGTGCTTCTAACGCATCTTTTCGTTGTTGGTGAGCCTGTTTGTTCGAAAGATCTACTACTTTATCATTTTTTTGCAACTGATGATTTTGAAAAACAGCTTTTGAATGTGCATTGCTGTTTTGGTACTTACTAAATTTTTCTAATGCTCTTTTCCAACTGTCCATCCCCTTAGTAATAAAATCACTATCATCTTCAGATGAAAAATCATTGCCTAAAGCTTTTAAACATTCAAAACAAAAAACTTTGTCTTTTTTACAATCATAATGCAGCCATTTGTACGTCTGAAACCATTCTTTTTGGTATGAACGGTTTTTACTATTTTTTGGAAATTTGAAATCTAAAGATGGAATGTACCGATTTTTTCCAATCAAAACTCCGTTAGAATTTTTTTCCCTTTCAGGTGCCAATGCCAATGAGCTAGTATTATAATTATTACCAGAAATTTTATCATTTACAAGAGAATCTGTATTCGAATCTAAAGAAATCGATTCATCTTTTGATTTCCTTTTCGATTCATCCTCACTTTTTTTTTATCTACTATTGATGACTTTAACCAATTTATCAAAAATATTCTTTTTCCGGGCATTTCTAATGATTTTTTATTTGCTTGAGCTGAAAAATAATTTTTACACTGAGTTAATTGTTAACTTTCATTTATAAATTTTAACAGCTGACACAAGCCTTGTATTTTTATTACACTATCTTCGTTTATTGCTAAGTACATTTTGTAGTACCACGTGTAATTGAGTCGTAAAAACCAATTGATTAACGCAAGAGCGAACAAAATTTTTCCTTACTTAGACAACACCACATATATGCGTGATGAAAAAACACAACCTACCTTCGTTTGATACTCAAACACATTAACATGTAACAAAAAAGCTCACTGAAAAGCTGTGGGCCTGTGTGAAAAGCAGAAGCTCTTTAGGCCTTATATTTACATCTCAGATCACAAAAATATAGTTAACAAATTAGTAGATGATTAAATAAACAAAAGGGCAGAACAGGTAAGAAAGCTGGCGATCATTTTAAATCGGAAGGGGCACTTCTTTATTTTTTTTCCCCCAGCATAAAAGTAAGCCAGCAGGGTGTGTGGTTTTAGCTCAGTTGAGAATTAAAAGAAGCTTGCCTACCTGTTTCGTATTTTTGTAGTTATTTATTCCACTGATTTTATTTATTAACAACTCTAGCACCTCAGATTATGTGGCTATTTGAGCGCTAGAGTTGAATTAAATATCATGTATATTTGAATTGTGTGTACTCTAAGTTTTGTGTTGTATTTAAAAAATTTTTAAACATTTTTTTAACAGGGGGCTCAGGCCCTCTAGTTCTGCAGCCTCTGATTATTTTTATACATGATTTATATAATTGGAATTTGGAACAGTCAGTATGAATTGTAGCAGGGTGAATTCTAAGGAATAAGACAACTTATGAGAATAGTAAATATTGAATTGTAAATAAATAAAAAAGTTTTTTCGGTAAAATACAAATATCACATAGTTAAATATAATAAACGCAGAAGCCAAACTGCTGATGGTTGTTACTGTAGCTTTCAGTTTTAACTATTGGTTTTGACATAATATTAGTTTCTTGTTCCTGATTCTGATTTTTTGAGAATAAGCTTCCTTGCAAGTAGCTTCGTGGTGAAGTCGTATTTAGAAGAATTTATCTAAAACAAGCTAATTAACTGATACCTGTGATTAGCTAGTGAAGTTTGTTTAAAGCAGTGGTTGTTGCTACTGAATGTTGTACGAGACATAACGTACATTGTTTTAATAATCAGTTTTTGGAAAAAATTTCTCTTCAATTTATAAACTTTCTCAGCTAATTTGAATGTATGTAGGCCATCTTCAGACACGCTCGTTCAAGAACCACGATACTTGCGTTTTTGCAAAAATGATAAACAGTTTCTGTTGTTCTTTTCCATTACACTGCTCAAACAATTATCGCATCCTATTCTATTTTTGATGGATTTAACAACGAAACCAGAAATATATGCAACATTGTCTTCAGCAACAAAATATAAATAACTCAATCTCACGATAGAACTTGAGTGTTCTAATTCAATGAGGTTGACGTCGAAGGATTTTTCACTTTTATGTTTATGATCACGACTCGTATGAATCAATCAAGTGTCATCTCGAGGAATTAAATTTCCGGTCAGTGGAACTTGAATACTAACATGCTTCAGTAACTTTCTGTAAGCGCTTTTAAATCGTCGGATTATTATTAAACCTACTGAATTTCCTGATACAAGAAAAAAAATTTCAAGATGATCTTTTGACAGCTTAAAAGTGCATAAAAAACTTAGCACACTACTTTCAAATAAATTTTGAGCTAGTTTGACAGC